AAAAAAACAACAACAACAAAACAACAACAAACAAAAAACAAAAAAACCGACAACAACAAAAATCAAAACGTAACAAATCCTGGAAAGACATTGCCCTGTGAGTTTTACAATAATGTGTAATCATACAGTGACAGCAATTATGAATTGTTCTAAGTAATCAATTAAGATTGAAGAAAAAAAATGCGTCTTAAAAACTAACAAGGCCTCTTTTCTCGCTCGAAAAACTGTGCAAGAAAAAAATAATACATCACGATGTTTGAACAATTCCAAACAAAGCGATAAGACAGTTGCTGCATGTTGTCTTTTACCTGCGTGTGCAGACTGCTCTTTTCTTATGATTATGGGAAGTTTCCAGACTGCTTAAACATTTTTTGTATATCTCACGTGACATTTTTCCACCTACTATAAAAATCTCTGAATCAAAACAAATATTTCATACTGTCTCTTAAAAAGGCTCTGCATACTTTCCGCTAGTAAATATAATCAACTCGTCAAGTTTACAAATACAAAAATAAACTCCCTATCATAAGCCCATGTCAACGTTGTCTAAGCAATTTTTGTTTCAGCTGAGTCAAGGAGTTTTGGTTTACACCCATCCCCCCCTCTCCCCACACTCTCTCCTTCCCCTCTCCTCCTACTCTCCTCTTTCTCTCCTCCTCCTCCCTTCCCGCCCCCCCCTCCCGCGTCCTTCTCCCCTGTCCTTTCCTTGCTCCTCTCTCTCTCCTGTCCCCCACCACTTCCATCTCCGCTCATCGACCCCCTCTCTCCGCCTCACCCACACCCCCTCATCCCCCTCCTCATCCCACACCCCTCCTCCCTCCCCTTTTCTCTTGTCCTCCTTCTCCACTCCGCCCCTTCCCCCCTCTCCATCTAACACTCCCTCCGCCGGATGGTTTGGGGGTCAGGGAAGTCCCAGATTTTCGCCCTTTTAAGGGGGAAGTTGGCCGGTCTCTGTGAGTATTCTCGGCCCTCCCTTTGCTGGCAACATGGTCACCAAAATTCTTCTCGTGTCTCTGGCTCTCTTCGCCCTGGGAACCTGCCAGCGTAAGTGAACGACTTCAGTGACGCATTAATTTTTCTCCTAGCTTTGGCCACTTACAAAAACCTGTTCTAATATAATCTATATATGTAAGGCATCGTGCTGTAATCAGGTGCTCGTCAAAATAATGATAGCGAAGAAATCAACATTTTTTTCCGCTAGATCGGCAATTTCGACATTGGACCAAAAAGAAATGTAAATTTTGCAGTTTTCGAGGACTCTTCTGTTTTCGAAATCATCAAATTTTGGCTGCAATTTTCCCGCTAATCTTACCTCTCCCACCAGGCGAGCCTCACAGCCCCCAATCGTCAATATCTCGACTTCTATTCAACATGGATGGATACTTGTTTCACCAAAAGTAAGGAAAATGGATAGGCTTTAGAGATATTCCAATAGCTCCATAATTATCATGTCCCAAAAAAATTGACGAGCACTTGCTTCCACCAAGTCGTGATACAATCTTAGTGTGGCAAAAACAGCATTGCAACTTTTTTCTTTAATAATACACCGCCGAACTTGCTCTTACAGACACCTGTATAAGACACTCACCTGTACATACGACCGGGGGTAGAACTCGAGTCTTCTGCATGCGATGGTCAAGCGCCTAACCTCTTCAACACAGAGGCGTGTAAACTTCTTCTTGTTTTAAAATTGTGCGAAACTTATGTAAATTTAACGCCGCTCTTAATTCTGTAAAAATGTCGAATAGGCGGAACCTTTCATTTCAAAGTCCATCTCCTGTAGAGACGAGCCAGGTGGGTTTTGAGTCTTGTAAACTCTCCAAACAACGCAGACTTTAGAATACCCCATCAGAGATTTGAACTTGAGCCATGGGTACGATATCTTGATACAAAACTCTTACCGAGTTAAAGGTGAGACTACCGGTACTGATATTGTTGTCATTGTCAATTTCTATAACCACTCATTTAATGGGATTTTCTGTTGGGCATGGCCTTATGCATTAAGGGATCTTATTACTAAAACCAGATAGTAACAGCATTTCCTTTCATAAGATAAAGCAAAAGAGTCTCATCACGTCTTGGCTACCTCAAATTGCCCCCCACCACCCTAAGAGATTGGAGACCCATTATGTGCGTAGCAAGTCAATGAATGTTCGAATAGAGATCTCAGTTTGGCCTGCACCCATGCTTTCAAAGCCACAGTGGCGGATAAGCTGAGCTCCTAAAACTGGCGGCCGTCCAACTCTTCTGCTAAGACTTAGGGATCTTTGAATATTATGCCATAGAACTAAAATTGTTTTTCTATTTTATGAAACGCCATGTCGTAATACCACGTACATACAGATGACAGAGACGGCCAACTTTGTACGGAACAAGAGTGGTTTCTAAAACTTGTGGATGTCTTGGACAATGTCATAGGGGGAGGGGGGTGAGTTAGAAGTGGTGGCTTGTACAGGTGATTGTGTTTGACAGACAGACAGGCAAACACACAGACATACAGACAGATAGGCAGATTGACAGATAGAGAGACAGATGGACGGACAAACAGACAGACAAACAGACAGACAGGCAGAACAGAGATTGGTACGTAGAGAGAGACACAAAGAATGAGAGAGAGGGAGTGAGAGAGACTGAGAGAGAGAGAGAGAGAGAGAGAGAGAGAGAGAGAGAGGGAGAGAGAAAGAGAGAGAGAGAGAGAAAGAGAGAGAAAGAGAGAGAGAGAAAGAGCGATCCCTTAACTAGGACATACAGACCTTTGCTGTAGTTTCGGATGTGTCCTCGTATTTATTGTAAAAAGTCCTACTACAAAGATCTTGACACATGCGAAATTAATTCTTTCCTATATCAAATTAGTTGCCATGATTCTGAAGAACCAATTTCCTACATTTCAGTTAGTTACCACTAACTTGTGCCACCAACATCCTACATTCCATTTAGTTACCACTAGCTTGTACCACCAATTTCCTACATTCCATTTAGTTACCACTAACCTGTGCCACCAATTTTCTACATTCCATTTGTTGTCAGTAACCTGTACAGCTTATATCTTATATCACATGAAAGGCCACGAACATGTACCCTCAATAACCTATATCCCATTCATTGCCACTATTATGTACTGCAAATATCCGACATTCGTTTAGTTGCATATAACCTGTACAGCAATACCCTGCATTCCTTGAGTTGCCACCAACTTGTACCGTCAATTTCCTACATCCCTTAGTTGCAACTACCATGTACTGCCAATATTCTACATTCCAATAGTTGCCACTGAACTGTTCCTTCTGTTATCATACATTCCAATAGTTGCAACTAACTTGTGACGTCAATATGTCCTACATTCCACTAATTACCACTAACCAGTACTACCAATATCTTAGATTGCATTAGTTTCAACTAACTTGTACTGCCAATATCCTACATTCCACAAGTTGCCACTAAAGAGTCTCATCAATATATCCTACATTCCATTAATTACCACTAACAAGTACTACCAAATATCCTAGATTGCATTAGTTTCAACTAACTTGTACTGCCAATATCCTACATTCCATAAGTTGCCACTAAAGAGTCTCATCAATATATCCTACATTCCATTAATTGCCCATAACCTGTACTTCTTGTAATCCAACATCCCATAATTTGTCACTAATCTGTACCTCCTATATCTTACATTCCACTAGTTGCAGGTAACCTGAACAGCTTGCATCTTATATCACATTAATTGCCACTAACATGTTCCCTTAATTTCCTATATCCCATTAATTGCCACTAACCTGTACCGTCAGTATCTTACATTCCACGAGTTGCCACTAACCTGCACCTTCTATATCCTCCTAACATTCTACTTTCCATTAGTTGCCCATAACCTGTACCTCTTATTATCCTACATCCCATTAATTACCATTAACATGTACAGTCATTATCTTTCATCCCACCAGTCACCACTAACATGTGAGACCATTATCCTACATCCCAAAAGTTGCCTCTAACATGTACCTCCTATATCCTTCATCCCACCAGTTACCATTAACCTGTACGACCAATATCCTTCATCCCATCAGTTACCATTAACCTGTGCCTCCTTTATCCTTCATCCCACCAGTTACTATTAACCTGTGCGACCATTATCCTTCATCCCACCAGTTACCATTAACCTGTACCTCCTATACCCTTCATCCCACCAGTTACCATTAACCTGTACGACCAATATCCTTCATCCCATCAGTTACCATTAACCTGTACCTCCTATATCCTTCATCCCACCAGTTACCATTAACCTGTGCGACCATTATCCTTCATCCCACCAGTTACCATTAACCTGTGCACCCAGTACGGATGGCCAAACGGCAACTACCCTGACCCTTACGACTGCCTGAAGTACATCAACTGTAATGGCGCCATTGCCACGGTGATGTCGTGTGCTCCGGGCACCGTGTTCAACCCCAACACAAGGAACTGTGACAATTACGGAAACGTGCCCATCTGCCAGTCCACCCAGCAGAGCCCTATTGGTGAGTTGACTGATTGATTGATTGATTTGACTGATTGATTGATTGATTGATTGCTTAGGTGTTTTACCACCCTTTCGACTCAGTTTTGGGCATGTAAGAGCCACTATTTATTGGTGAGTGAGACCTTCTACTACGACTGCTGTTGCTGTTGCTGTTGCTGTTACTACTACTACTACTACTACTACTACTACTACTACTACTACTACTACTACTAACTTCTACTACTACTACTATTATATTTATAATTATAATTATTATACTTATTACTATTGTTATTATTATTGTTATTATTATCATGAATGTTATTATCACTATTATATTAATCGTTTTATGGGTCATTGAAAGACATTACTGGTATGTTCTACTTATTTAATTCTCTTCACTAAATGATCGTTGTTGTGTAGCGGTACATATCTTTACTCAAAAAGACAAGCGAAAACAATTATAACTATTGCCATTCACCCCCTACCTCCCCCCCCCCCCCACCATCAACATGACTTGACAATTAATAATTTAGGTGTAATGGAACCGTTCAAGTCTCCTTAATTGCATGTTCACAGGCATAAGCAATAATCTGAAAACTTTAAAATATCATAATGTGTTAGGTGGAAAGAGATAGATAGATAGATAGATAGATAGATAGATAGATAGATAGATAGATAGATAGATAGATAGATAGATAGATAGATAGATAGATAGATAGATAGATAGATAGATAGATAGATAGATAGATAGATAGATAAAGAGAGAGAGAGAGGGAGAGAGAGAGAGATAAAGAGAGAGAGAGAGAGAGAGAGAGAGAGAGAGAGAGAGAGAGAGAGAGAGAGAGGGAGAGAGAGCGCGCAAGGGGGGGGGGGTTACAATTAGGACATCGAAGTATTATCATGGGATCTATGTGAATGCACGCACATTGCCAATGATTGTAAGAGTATATTTTGTATTAGTCACATTGCCAATGATTGTAAGAGTATATTTTGTATTAGTCACATTGCCAATGATTGTAAGAGTATATTTTGTATTAGTCACATTGCCAATGATTGTAAGAGTATATTTTGTATTAGTCACATTGACAATGATTGTAAGAGTATATTTTGTATTAGTCACATTGAAACAATTGTTTTGATAAAAATGAGAGAAAAAAATACCCACAAAAGGACACATAGACAATAAATAAAATCAACTAGAGTTAGGAACCGAAGCATCAACTAAAGTCGCCAATAAAAAACCCCCTCTAATTTTTAGCAAATCGTGAGTGAGACCCTATATCTTTTAACTAGTTCAATTGAAACAAAAAAATAATACCCCCCCCCCCTCAACCGCCGAAAAAAAACAACACACTTTTTTTTTACCCTATTCTAAGACTGTTAGACTATAATAATTATTATTGATTGGTACGCTTTAAACATGCATTGTTTTCACTCTATTCTTGAAAAGTGTGTTGAGCAAAGGCAGACCAAAAAAAAAAAGAAGTAAATGTGCAGTTTCCAAGGACATCAGAGCTTTGGAACCACCAAACTTTGACAGACATTTCCTCGCTTGTTCTACTTCTTATACCTTGACCCCCCCACCCCACCCCCCACCCCCCACCCCCGCCCTTTTCAATTTCAAATATCTCTACGTCTCCTCAAGATAAATGAGTACATTTTAAAATAAAAGCAATACAAATAAAGAGCAATGCGTACAAGATCACGCAGCGGCAGATATGTACCTCTGCTCTAAGAACAAAAAAAGAAAGATATAAAAGAAGTTTTTTTTACCGTCTAGCATGCGGCTATTGTCAGAATAACCAAGAGTGTGTATTGCTCTTTCGAGTATGTATCTATATAACTCTAAAGGTCTTGTAATTAAATTCCTGCATGTGGTTGAATGATACATCTGATGTGAAATGTACATTTTGTCAGCTTTACTTCTCATTTCGTGTTGAATTTTAATGAGAGTAATATCATATTATACATTTCTATGTATACCTGCATGTGTTTTACGGTCCTGTACAATCAAGAAAAATTCCCCTCCGGGATAATAAAGTAAAATCCTATCTGATCTGATCTTATCTTAGCTTATCGTATCTTAACTTATCTTATCTTATCTTAAAGTGATACCAATAACTCCACCCCCCCCCCCAAACCCCCCCCCCCCACAACAACAACAAAATTCAACAAAGAAAAAACAAACAACAGACTTGCTCCTGATTCCACTGCGTCAAGACATAATCATTTGTGAGGCAGCGTGGTGGAATCAGACTCTCGTCAATTTTTGGGCATATTGAGTTATTGGTATCATCTTAAAGCTTGTTCATTTGTCTTGCTTTCACTGAAAAGGTTACCCATCCATCTTTTATAGAAGTGGAGATATTTTGGATGGAAGGAGGTGGGGGTCACCTGGTTTAAGAGGTAAAATTAGCGAGAAAATTGCCGCCAAAGCTTGGTAAATTCCAAAGCTGGAGAGTCCATGGAGACTGTAAATTTATATTTTCATGCCTTTAATCAACGCTTTTGGTGAAATCCTCAAAGGAATGTGTTTGTAAATGGACATAAAAGGTGTTGAGTTTTTAAAAAATTGATTAAAATTACTAAGCAGAGAGAAAACTGCTCTTTTCTTCAATTTCATTATATTGACGAGAGCCTGATTCCACCACGCTGCCTCACATTTCTTGTTTGTCTTCATCCTAGTCGTCACCAACATCTGCAACCAGTTCGGCTGGGGTAACGGAAACTTCTACCACCCTTACAACTGCGCCCAGTACATCCAGTGTGCTAACGGACTGACCACTGTCAACGCCTGCGGAGCCGGACAGTACTACGACCAGTCTCTGGGAAGATGCGCTCTGGCCGGCACGGGATACTGCCTTCAATACGTGTTCACCCCACCCCCGACACCCGTCGTCTACCCCGATGGTGAGTCTTAACGCTTTAAAGACTAGTCAGACAGATTTGTCCGACCAAAAGGAGTTCACATCCAATGTTGTTGCACATTTCAAGCCCACATACACAAACCACAAACACAACATTTGACATTTCATATTAATATAAATGTTGTCGTCTGCCTTTCTACATTTCTGAAAAAGAAAACAGAATTGGAAAATCTGTATGGATATAACGAAGTTCAGCTTTTCCAAGCATTTGAAAGGGCAGGATTGGCGTCTTCAATTAGTTAAACTGTGTTGGTTTTAGTAGAGGGTTTACGCCGTCATAACTGCAGAAGGTCGTATGAGCGCCCGCCAAGGGGTGGATGTCAACAGAGAAGTCCTTACAGGGGAATCGGGCTTTCTCTTGGTTTGTTTGTTTCAGTAGAGGTTTTACGGCGCTCGTAACTGCATAAGGTCATATGAGCGCTAAGGGGTCGATACATCTGGGACGTCCTTCCAGGGAACCACACTTACTCTGCTCACCTCTCTAGCTTCAACAACACAAAGTCTGCTTCGACTATCAAGGCACCCCGGAAAAAGCGGGCCACAAGAGTGTGACAAACATACAAAAGAAGTAGAGGAATAATGACGATAGTAAGGATTAAGGAAGAAAAAGCAGCACTTCCCTGTTGCAGTTCAGGCACAGTTATGAGCATGGCATTGATGAATCAGACCATTTACAAGTACAATTCTACTGTGCATAAGAACGTAAGATGTTAATGTCCCCCCTTCTGGGAATGGCCTAAAGACACTTCAGTCAGTAGCAACGCCCGGGGGTTGGTGAATCTTCGGTCAACCAATGTTCTGGATAGACAGGTCTCGCCTTCTTGGCTCTGGTTGCGTGTTTCTGGTTTTTGTGTACATCTATGGACCTTGTTTCTGAGCAGTTTTTCGAACATTGTGGTTGATTCTTTTGTTGTTTTCCTTAAAAAAAAATCACTAGCCGCTTGAATCAGCGTTCTAGATTGAGTTCGCCTTCTTGGCTCTTGTTGCGTGTTTCTGGTTTTACTCTACTTCTATGGACCTTGTTTCCGAGCAGTTTTTCGAACATTGTGATTGATTGTTTCGTTGTTTTCCTCAACCTTTTCACTGCTGAGTAGACGTGTGTTCTGGCTTGTATTCTCCACTTATATTGTTTCATCTGGTTGACAAAAGAAGTTTTAGTTGGTATAGTTACCGTTTGTGGTTTGTGCTTATCCTGAAACAATTCTCTGTGTTAAAATATTCCAAGAATTAACATTTTATCTTGTCGGTACAGATGTTGATGGAAATTTTTCAGCAGTGAAGGGGTTAAAAAAAATCACTAGCCGCTTGAATCAGCGTTCTAGATTGAGTTCGCCTTCTTGGCTCTTGTAGCGTGTTTCTGGTTTTCCTCTTCTTTTACAGACCTTGTTTCTGAGTAGTTTTTCGAACTTTATGCTTGATTGTTTTGTTGCTTTCCTTTTAAAATGATATAATAATATAAAAAGTGTAACAGTAAACCAGAAACATAGAGTTAACGAGGCTCTTGTTTGTCTCTGGTTTACTATGGTACTTCTACGGAACAATATTACTGAGTGTTTTTTGTTAACCTTAATCTTTCTTATCTTATGACTGTTTGTAACTGGGGGG